GGAAATTACATGTAATAAATAAACAAAAACAAAAAAATAAAAAACATACCTTAGTAGTTACAAAGAAGAACCGAAAGACCTAAAAAGAATGAATTCAAAATATAAAATGATCAGCTCATTAATTAGCCAATAAAATTTAATGTAGAGTGAAAAATTATTAAATCGCAAACGTCAAATCATTAATATAAGCTATATTATAGTAATAATTTAATAAATATTAATTTATTATTTTTTGTTAACTAATTATTACCATATTACTACTGTAACCATCCTTAATTTACTTAGTATTACATTATAATACTAAATTTTTCTATTTAAACAAATTCATTGGTCCCGGTGCGAAGCAACGGGTTACTGCTAGTTTTAAATTAAAAACTTTTATTAAAAGAACCTCCAAAAATTTTCTGAAGACACGATTCATTTCCTTAATATCATTATTGTAGTCATGTTGTTTTTTATCATCAGTAGAAATAATTGAGTCAGCTTCTTCCAATATTTCTTTTGTAAATGTCACAACACAAGAACCTGTCTCTTATACACATCTAGATGTGTATAAGAGACGTGTTATGATACGGAATTTTTGTAAGATTATCTTCTAAAAATATTAAGTTTAAAAATTCCGTATACATTCCGCATGATTAATTTTTTCCGTATACATTTCTTATACATTAGTTTTTTTAAAAAATGTTCAAAAACGAATTGCTTATTAAATATACGGAATTTGTATACGGAATCTATAGAAACGTACATAAAATGTATACAAAACGTATCCTTTCCGTATACATATTTCTTATAGGGCTAAAGTAAAAACAAAGGGGGAGAGAGGAGTGAGAAAACGACAAAGAGGAAAAGCGAACCGAGACGAAAAACTAATGTTCTAACTAATTATATGCCCGTATTTTTCTTTCATCAATCGATGCTACACGTAAATACTGTCAAGTGTAGAATGGTGTATCTTATTAAAAGGTCTGGTGTTGGTTGAGATATGTAGATAGCAACAGTTAATCATGCGCCGGAGTCGGCGGAATAGTAACGGTCTCTAAAACTTCAACAGCTGAAGTGTAAGAAGAATCACTGAGAATCGTACGTGACTCATTATCCGGAGGTGAAGTATGGCGTAAAAAATAATTGGGATCGTTGAGAATGCTGCGACTTTTCACAGGGATAAGATCCTGGATAATTTTTGGTTTGAAAGTAAAGATTCACGGCGTGATTATATCCATAATTATATTGCGGAATGGTACTGACGTTCCAATGACGTAATCAAAAAGAACGTGTGAAAGTCTATACAGTTTGTGGATCATAAATCACGTGATAGGGTAATGACATCGCACGCGCGATGAATAAAAAAAAGTGTGTGTGTGATTAACGTTTAGATTAGTCTCTGTATAAATAATTTGAATTGTGTAACTTGAAATCTCATTAAAACGTGACAATCGTGACATTGCTTCTGCGGCTCCGCCTGATCTATTTATGGTCAAAACTATTCAACTAATCAATTTCAGTTAATAAAATTTTACCTTAATTGGAAATTTTTTTTTAAAAAAAATTTTTCAAACCGAAAAATTTGTTTTTTCTCATTCTTTTCCCGTTTAGGTTTAATTTTTTTCCCAAACTGTAAAAATTATATTTTTTTTTTATTAAATAATCCCCCATTGTTTTGGTCTTTTAAGACCAATTTTTTTTATTTTTTTTCGTTTTTTTTAAAAAAAAATTTTTTTTTCACTCTTTTGGATCAGAATTTTTTTCGTGTTTTTTTTTCGGATTCTTTTTTTTTTCAGAAATTTATTTTTTTAAAAAAAATCAATATAACATATCAGATATAGGAAAATTGACCGACGTTGATAGAAAGATGAGTAAGATTTTTTCAATTAAATTGAACGCTGGATAAATAGTTTGATTTTCAAATTCATAAAATCAATTAATTAATTATAAAATATGTAAAAATATCAATTTTTTTTTGAAGAAATTGTTGATTTAATAATAGATTATTATAACTAAATCCATATCCATAATTCTCTAAATAACTACCAGATTTTTGAATAAAGATTTTAATTCTGGTTTAGTTAAATTAAGTACCAAAATACGTTTAATTATTCAAATATTTTTTATAAGTTTAAGATTGACGTAATATAAAATAAGAAATAATAAATAATTATCATAAAGTTTATAATTAATAAAAAATCAATCAAAAAAAAATGAGAGTGAATGAAAAAATAAGGAGAGTAAAAGGGAATAAAAAAAACGAAGGGGGAGTGAGAGAGAAACGAGATGGAGCAAAGGGGGAGTGAAAGAAACAAAAGGAACGAAAAAAAAGATCAAGTGGGAATGAAAAAATGAAAAGAATGGAGGGGGACGAAATGGAGCAAAGGAATAAAAAAATGAAAGGAACAAAGGGTAGTGTAAAGAGAAGTGGGAATGGAAAAAAATGAAAATGACAAAGGATAGTGTAAAGGAACGAAGGGTAGTGTAAAGGAATGAAAAGGACGAAAGAGAGGAAATAAAAAACAATGGAAAAAATGAAGGAAGGGAAGAATAAAAAGAGCAAAAGAGATGAAGAGACAAAAAAAAAACAAAAAAGTGGAGAAGGAACGAAATGAGATAAACAGGGGGACCAAGTAAACAAAACCCATAAAACTAAAAGAAGAAATAAAGTTAGTAGGGAACGGAAATTACATGTAATAAATAAACAAAAAATAAAAAAATAAAAAACATACCTTAGTAGTTACAAAGAAGAACCGAAAGACCTAAAAAGAATGAATTCAAAATATAAAATGATCAGCTCATTAATTAGCCAATAAAATTTAATGTAGAGTGAAAAATTATTAAATCGCAAACGTCAAATCATTAATATAAGCTATATTATAGTAATAATTTAATAAATATTAATTTATTATTTTTTGTTAACTAATTATTACCATATTACTACTGTAACCATCCTTAATTTACTTAGTATTACATTATAATACTAAATTTTTCTATTTAAACAAATTCATTGGTCCCGGTGCGAAGCAACGGGTTACTGCTAGTTTTAAATTAAAAACTTTTATTAAAAGAACCTCCAAAAATTTTCTGAAGACACGATTCATTTCCTTAATATCATTATTGTAGTCATGTTGTTTTTTATCATCAGTAGAAATAATTGAGTCAGCTTCTTCCAATATTTCTTTTGTAAATGTCACAACACAAGAACTATCTGGGGAACTTACTAAATTAGACTATGTGCAATTTTGCATTACGTTCATATGACCTTGTCAAAAAAAATACATCAAGCTATTAATACTTTTTTGTATAAAAAAAATGAGTTAGACAAAAAAATGTATTACCAAATTAAAATAAACTAGCGACTTATATCTAATACCATAACTTCTTTCGTATTTATATTACGAGAAGCTTTTTTAGCTCATAAATTGCAATAATATAATTTTCATTTATACTCAATATTTTAGACGGTTACCGGGCATTTTGTGTCACCTTTGCACTTGTGACGTCTCTTTCATTTGTTTACTATTTGTATTTCTATAGCACTTTGTAATTGTTAATTCTGATAAGTCCACAATATTCTCCATAAAGTTTCATTAAAACCATTATTCATTGTCCTATTTTTATTTTGTTGTAAAGCATAAGAAGAAATTTACGATTATCGTCGAATTGAGATATTTATCTATAATTATAAAAATGATTTAAATATTATTTTTAATAATTTTTTAAAACTTAAAAATAAGACCTTTAAGTCATAGACTTGAGGATCAAATGCGAAATGATGTACCGTATTGATTAATATTAGAAAGTAAAAATTACATAAGATGTTAGTAAGAATTTCTTTCAGACTTTCAATATTAGTTGATCGCCTCGATGCATTTCGAGGACGTTAACATTTTTTTTCAAATCATAATTTTACATCGTCAATACAATTTTACGTCAAATTATTCAAAAGTAGAATAAAAACAATTTTAATTTCCGTAATTCCAAAAGAAAAAAAAATTATTTGAAAAAAAAAATTATAAAATAAAAGACGATAATTAAATACAAATTTTATTTTAAAAAAAAAATACTAATTAATATTAATTAACACAATAAGTTTTGTACATATAAAATAATTTACACGTCATTTGAAGTATTTGAGGTTCAAATAATAAAAAAAAAAAAAATTTAATTCTTTTAAATTATAAATTAGCAATAACAAAAGAGGTCAAGCCGATTATTAAGTAAGCGACTTCAGATATACCAAAAACAGATGATGCTGATTTAGCGTTAGCATTTGCACTTTTTGCATCTACAATCTTGAGATCGGCACATTGATAGGTAAAATTCACTCCTCCATCAATGAAAATAGTTTGAAGCACACCTTGGTCTCCAACTTTTGCACCAGCTTTAGAGAGATTAATTGAGGCGGTTAATTGTTTACCACCTGAATCATGAGGAACGTCAACTGTGACATTATCTTTAACGAAAAAATAAAAAAAAAAATTAATAAATCAAATTTTTTTTCAAGTACAAAAGAAATTAAAACTTTTTAGGAATTAAAAATGATTATTTATACCTGCTACAGATTGGAAAGTACTATTGACATCAGGAGCGTAGTTGAAGAGCAAAACACCTGTACCGTGACCGACTTTAACCGTAGCTTGACCATCTATATAATATAAAATACAAAATAGGCGATTAATATTTTGTGACAAGAGATTAAAATTAATATTGTGAAATGACAAGATGAAATAGGGACCCGCAAGTGAATTCAAGAATTCTCACCTGTAAGAGGAAATTCCGTTATAGCAGTAGTATTCACTTCATTAGAACCTCCACAAGGAGGTATTTTACTATTTACAGCATCATTTCCTCTAAATGGAGGGTTGACAAATGCTATATGAGCATTTGTGGAAGAGATGAGAACGAAGAAAAAGATAAAAAGTACAGCAAAAGTTTTTGAGGAATTCATATTTAAAAATTAAAAAAATGTTTTGAGAACTAGATTAAATGTTTCTTATTAATTTTAATTGATATTTTATTAAAGAATGAAATTTTAAAATTTGTTGGAATTGAACGAACATTTATAATGAAATTTTTAGGGGAGAGATAAGAGGGACATTGTGATTGTGTTTACTTTTGATCGTTGTACCGAAGATTAAGTTCAGATTATCTCAAGATGATGAAGTACAAGGGTCAATTAATGGCAATTTTGTGTATATCTAAAAAAAATATTTTGTCTATCACATTTACCCTAAAAGGATTAAGTACTTGTAATTAAAAAAATTTTAAGAAATTTCTCCCAAATGTAACAGTTGCAGTGCTACGTCATGAACAATAGGTTCTTTATTTCATGCAAAGAAATTTCTAACAAGAAAAAACTTTATCAGCCAAATGTCAAATTATAAAATGCTATCTTTATTTTTGTATTTTTGATTGTACGTGTGAAGAACTGATTAAGTAAACAAAAAGATGGAAAGATACGGAATTGTCAAACTAAAACAGTCGTTTGTGCGATCAACGTGAAGGAAGAAAAAAAGAAAAATTAATAACATGATTTTTCATTTAACCATATTAATATATATTATACCATAATTAATGTAATTAATAACGGGATGATATGAGTGGTCAAATCGAAGTTGCATAAGGTTCACCGATCGGTATAGATTAAGTTCGATCTATCTCAAATTGTGTGACTTCACTTTTTTTTTTGGGTCATATCCGTCAGTTTATTATTCAGTTATTCTTTTTTTTTTAATTTTTAATTTTTAAGATGACGTTATGAACTTTTAGTCGCCCAAGAAAATTTTTATCAACTCCAAAGAGACACCAAGTTAGTAAAAGTTAGTAATAAGTACTATTAGTATGATGGATAAATCTTTTTAGCGACAATATAAAGTTATTTTCGGTATTTTGATATTCCGAAAAAATGTAACCGCGTACAATAGAATACATCATTTGTTATTGTGGTAATTTTGATTACGAGGAAGGACAAGAATTTTCTTAATAAGATTCTAGACCTTATTGTTCAAAGTTTAGATTATATAATGTTATTGATATCTCTTCATCTATGCACACGCTTGCGACACATTACTCACGAATTACGTATTGAAACGAAAAGTGAACGAGTACCCCAGGGTAAGATTGTGGGTTGGCAATTTTTTTTTTTTTACAATCAAAAAAAAAAAAAATTAATTCCTTTTTTAAATGAAACGGGTATCATTTTATAATATTCTATTTTGTCTTTTAGCAATTTTTTTTTGTTTAGGAATGACTCTAATTAGACGAAGTGAGTTTGCGGTAATGGAAATTTTTTAAGGATTTTTTTTTAAATATTTTGAAAGTCATTAAATTAGATGGAATTGTGGATCTTTTAAATGGTTTGTATTTAATTCAACTTTTTCCTTTATAGCAATTTTAACTAGAGACTCGAGATATTTTAAGGTAAATTATACGGAATTGTTTTTTTATTTATGGTTCTTTGTTTTTATTAATGTAGCTTTTTTTTTTCTTATCTTCTAGGAACGGGTTAACTTATCAATTGAATCAACGTATTTGGCTTATGATTGACTCGTTATAAAATGTTGACCGATTTCTGACTCGTTGATTTGGTATTAATTATTGATGCATTGTTATTTTGTTAATAGTATTAATGATTTCACTAAACGATCATCATTTATCTTTTTTAACAAAAATACATTTCTTCGAATAAAAAATGTAATTTAAGTTATATGGATCATGGAAAATTGAACATTGTCAAGTGCTCGAGTTTTAATCGATTAACCATCAATGAGTCACCAACTGTACACAGGATCAAAGCGATATCGTCAAAAAGGTGGCAGATTTTGGTACATCACAGAAAAAAAAACGAAATATATCTATCTATATTGAATTCGATAATTTACGTCCTATGATAAATTTCACAAACAACAAAAGAAATCAACGAACCCAAGGAAAAAGAACGGGTTTTGATCGATCAACCATAGACTTTACCTAGGATCTATGGAACTAATCAGCGATATCGGCAGATTTTGATACATCGCAGAAAAGATATGAAATATATTTGATAATTAACGTCCTATAATAAATTTCACGAACAACAAAAGAAATCAACGAACCCAAGGAAAAAGAACGGGTTTGATCGATCAATCATAGACTTTACCTAGGATCTATGGAACTAACAGCGATATCGACAGATTTTGGTATATCGCAGAAAAGATATGAAATGTATCTATGTTGAATTCGATAATAACGACCTATAATAAATTTGACGAACAACAAAAGAAATCAATGAACCCGAAGAAAAAGAAAAGAAAAATTGTTCCATTTCATGGTATGTTTCTGTTTGAAGCTGTCGAATGTTTCTTCGGTCCAGAAAAAGCTTTAGCTCCCTTTGACGAGACCTATTATCCGGACGACTGGGAAGCTTCAGAACCTTATGATCCCGTCACTTCAGATGATACAAAATAAAAGATGAATTTTTTCATCCATGCGTCTTCACGATCAAAATTATTAAAGAAACAATATCTCAGCGAACCAGTAAAATAATTTTTTCATTATGATTAGTTTTAAATTAGTTTTATTATTTTCTTTATATGTAATTTTTGCATCAGTTCGCCTTTAAATTTTCTCTTTTCATCCCCTTCTCGTACTTTACAACTTATGAATAGAATTGTTCATTTCCACTTCACATGTTTAAGTGAGGAGGATCCTCGGATTTGAAAGAATAACGTGGCATCTCATTTTGGGTGTGTAGTCTAAGTTATTCATGAGGGACTTGGACTTTTTAAATGGTGAACGGTTATATTCGTTGTGGCCTTACATTAGTTATAGAATCTGATTTATGAATGGACACTAGTAACGTTCTTACAATTTGAACTATTGTATAGTCTTAAATAAATAAATAAATAAACTATCGAAGAGTCAAATAAATTCATTAATTTCATAGTACTCAAAGTGAGTAATGAACTAGATGATTCTTGTTAATATATATAGAAGAACAGAATATCGATAATTACAATAAATAAGCTAAAAAGAAAGCTAATTACGGTTAAAATAAAGTTACGTTAATTTAACCTATCGTAAATATTAATGATCGGTAAAAATCACGTCTTCTCATTTACAGTCTGTCGTTTTATTTTATTCAGTATCATTTTTTTATTAAAAAAAATTACGAAAAATAGTATATAATGTTACAAAATCATCAGTGTTACGAAAAAAAAGGAGTTATATAACCACAAAAGGGGGCTAATACGTGAGGTAATGTCAGTGGATGGAAGGTTGCAACTTGCATGGGTTAACACAATATCTAATGCAGTACAGCAGAATGTTCTTCTCTAACACTAGACAAATTATTTAATTTACAATGTTAAATAAGTTAAATTATATACGCAAAAAAAAAAATTAATACAATTATCCCATGCTCCTGTATCCAAATATTTTTTGTCTAAGCCGAATATTTTTCATGAATTGATGATTGCATTAAAACATCCTAATGTTTTGCGTAAATAAATGTTATATTCTGTCGCTTCTTGCATGTTCTAGTCATTTCTCGTTAAAAATTTAAGACCTAAGGGCGAATTCAAATTAAAATTTTACGTTTTGAATGAGTCGGAGGGTAATATTTTGGATGATGCTGTAGTTTTGAAATAATTTAAAAAATTAATTAAATTAATTTTTGGTATAACATTCATTTTCAAATACGTTATCGTTATGATTAGGAAGATAGAAAATCAATAGTAATGAAATTTAGAAATGCAAACAATACTAACAGTGATATAATATCGTTGTAAACATTGTATACAGCAACAATTATATAACAAGCTTTTAAAAATTTCCTAATAATAAATAAATATCTTACGATTTTTTTCTGTTACTGATTAGCATGTACAACATTTTATAAGAAATATATCTAAAAGAATTCTTCATAGCATTATAATAAATAGTATAATAATATTATTATAACGTAATTTTTGCGTCAAATCAATCAAAGTGATTGAAATCTTGAATCCTCCATAATTCCTGATACGGACTGCTGTTTAATATTAGTAATAAAAATAGATTAACAAGCAAACTTTATATATACTGTATATAATTACATGTCATTTGATATTTTGCATATACTGTATATAATAAAAGTGATCAAAACGATTATATAGTAAAGCGAGTGACTTCCAGGAAAGATAATTTGTGATTGTTGTAATTTGCTTACTAGGAAGGAAAAAAATATCTTTTAATAATAAGAATCTAAGATTTACTATAAAGTTTAAACTATAGGCTTGCATAGTATATTTTAGCTTGAATTTTACATGATTCCGTTCGTAAGCGTGATACATAAATTTACAAGTGAAATGATGTTTCTACATTAATTCTAAACTACCTATATTAACATTATCCATAATCCGGTTTCATTTTGTCCAAATAATCGATATTCTGAATAGAAAAAAATTGTCGTCAGACGTCACAAGACATGTGGTGTCAGAAATAAATGAACTATGTTGCTTGCATTCCGTGGTACTAACGTAGAAAATAGTAACACAAGAGTGCAAAGTTACTGCGCTTTATTTTTTTTTTGCAAGTAAAACAGATTAGTCAAATACGGTCAATCGTACGACCACTCGTACGACCTAAGAATTAATTCACCTTCTTTTTTAATAAATACCGTGAGAATCGGAGAATGAGAATAATGATTGATCAATTTTTTTTCATGTACTGATAAATTATTTGCTGTATTGCGTCAACCTCAGCTCTCTAGTTTGCTCAAAACTTCTTTCTCTAAAAGCAACTTCTTTCTCTATAAACTAAAATATCATTTATCATTATGAAAATATAATCGAAATGGTTGAATCATACAATTGTTTACGTCTAGATAATAGTTATGTTTTTCAGGTGGAAGTTTACAAAAATAAAAATGACAATGACAATGACGATAAGAAATTTCTCAAAATTGGTGATGAAGAAATTCCATTTGAGAAATTAAGCTTATCTCAAATAATGAAAGTTTGGAAAGCCTGACGTACTGAATCTTTGGCAAATTGACGTTTATGAAAGTAAGCTTAATCCTAATTCTACTGAAGACGATATTAAAAACCTTGGAGGTGTGTTTATGAAACGTCAAAAAATATTTTCAAGTTGGATATAAATCTAAGGAGGAAGAAACATCAACATCGTTGTTGTCATCGCAATTACCACTGGTAAGTGTCTCCCAATTTTTTACCCCTCGAAGAAGAAACTTGCAGTCAAAACAATGATATATACTTTCGTCGTCACATTTGTTAATAAATAATATTGGTTATGTTTTCTCGTTGTCCATTAGAGCTCGAGAAAAAAAGACCTTTCACGGAAGTAGAAGAAAGTAAGAAACGTGTGATAGAAACTTGATATTATACTTAGTTATATGTTTCATTCCATCATTCTTACGAATTTTCTCTATAGCCACAGAACTAAAGAGAAGCAAATAGGATAGTTCAGCGTGCTGGTGTCTACTTTGTTGATCCATTAGAGTTAAGTGAACCGCTTCTTAATAATATTCGGAAGGGTGAATTTATGACACTACATGGTGTACGGGCCACTGGAAAAACTACACGGGTGTTTAGAGTTATGGAACAATTTGAAGAAGAAGGCTATCTTTGCCTATTTTTCTCATTTAAGCGATCACAAGTACCAGGTTTGCACATTGCATCTGTTTCTTATATTTCTTTTTTCTTTGAAACAGTATATCTCTTGAGGCGATTGAAACAGATAGCAAAATATTATTCTGGACAACATTCAGTGATTATCTCGTCAGGACTGCTCCCGAGCATATTGAAGATCAAATTAAGTCTAGTAATGATTTCGTTAATTTATTTTCAAAAAGGTGGGAAAAAAAGGTTATTCTCTTCATAGACGAGTATGATATAATGTATAGAGCAAATAATGAGACTATATCCTCATTCTTGAGAATTGTACGTAATATTAAAGCAAGAAAAGAAGGATATGCTATCTGGTCTATTAATATAGTCGACCCAAGTATCTTGCATCTGAGCTCAAAAGAAGTAACCACATCGCCATTTAATGTCTATAGGCCATTTCAAAACCCAAACTTCACGCAGGAACAAGTCCAGTTCTTATTTAAGGAGTATGCGAATGAGGAGCGAATAATCATTAATCAAGAGGTCATCAAAGATATCTACATGCGGACAAATGGGTATGCAGATGGAAAATCAAAATCCAAAATTCATTTTTCTCATGATTCTTTTATTTAATAGGCATGCTGGATGGCCTTGTCATCAATTGCGGAAAAGCTATCGATGAGAATTAAAAAAAGGACTTGGTGAAATTGATATTTCAATCTGGTTGAAAGCAATCGTTTGCAAAAAGTGATACGTAATTGTGAAACCTTCAGAAAGATGGTTGGAAGATTTGTTGAGGAAGATATATACAGGCCTGTTAATAGACTTACTCCGTTATTCACTCACAGGGTTTCTCAGTTATATGCAAATCAATGATTCTGAAGAAAAAAAGAAAGCAGGTTTCCTTACAGCAGAGAAGGTACTAACGGTAGTTGACAAAGATGATAATATATACAGAATGTCATCTGCTTTTATGGATGAGCTGATACAATGACGAGTTATTCCTTTATACAAGTCTTGCCCTGAAATTGCAATTCCTGAAAAAGATGATGACTCCCTGATACTCTCAGCATTTTGCTGACTGCCGTCTTCGGTCATTTAAATTTGCACACGATTTGTATGTAGATGGTAGAAAAAAAGAAAAAGTTTCCTCAAAAAAGTGTGTATGACACGGGATCCTGGTTAACTGGCGGTCACTGGACAATGGCATATAATAATAGAAAATCGGGATGGCGGAAGAGATAAGCACTTATACAATGATATAGTAATTACAACGGATCGTCAAAAAATTGTTCTCGAGCTTCTTGCCACTGTACAGGTAGCGCTGGTACCATTGAGCATATTGTAAATCAGGTAGTACCATTACAATCTTAGTTAACTTTTTATTTACAATATAAAAGTTCTAAAAATCCAATTTTAATGTTTATTAGTTTTTAGTAATATTTGGGTTGGTTGTTTTATGTATTATGATCAGCATGACGCTAACTTTATAATTACAATAAAAAAAACATATAATGCAGTTTGTAAAATAATTCACACGCCGCAGACTTTGGTAATAAATACAATAAGAGAGTAAACGAAACATGTGATGCTGTCAAAGAGGGAAGGAAGTATGCGGACCTAGGTTATTTAATGCAAGTCTCCCAGCATCAAGTTATTTCTTTGCTCTCTCAGGTTTTTTATAAATTCCTACAACTAACTTGTTTCTACTATATCGTTAACCACGAGAATTTCATCACCATAATCTTTCTCTACTGATTTCTCACCGATATCTACAAAATCTTCTTCTATCTATATCTCTTCTACTCACACAGATTATGTAAATAGTATTCCCCACAAGAGAACTACATGATATTTATCATTACTGCGCATTTATTAATCAAGTTTAGCGATTTATTTGATCCAAGTAGGGCTTTAGGTCTCACTTTTTTTATTCATCAAAATATTTTCAATACAATTCTTTATTGATGAACATGATTCGCCTTGTGATCGTGATACATGATGAACTAAATTGAGTATAAGACTTCGTATTTTTTCATAAATATTTTTTTTTTTCCGGGTTAGTTGGGATAGTGGCGTTCCTGTTCTTCGTCATACTATACCTCAATAAAAAAAATTCCCAAATGCAACTTTTTTTGCCGATCACGATTAAGAGTTTTTAGGCATCTTTATACCAGCTAGTGCTATGAAACCGAGGCTGAGCACCTTGCTCATGGAGATTTTTTAGTAACTTAATAGATGGAGTTGTGGGTATTTTAGGTAGTTTTTTTGCTTATGTTTTTTATTAATTTACTTTTTCTTTTCTGTTTATATCAACTTTAATTAATGACCCGAGATACACTTTTGAGGAAGGTTATACCGAATGGATTTTTTTTTTGTTTTATTAATTTGACCTAGTTTTTTTCTTTTAAAAACGGATCATTAAGCTAACAAATTACTTCGAGTCGGCGTATTTGACTAATAATTTGAGTAAAATCTTATTTATTATTTTCAAACTATTTCTTTTTTATTCCTTTACACGATAAGTAAAATTTAAATGAAGAATCATAATTTTGCGATGATAAATGAAATGTATATTTAAGTTCCAAATTCATTGGTTAGACATAAGCAAAGGCGCTGATTTTTCTTAATTTTACGATTATTATAATGTATTTGATTAAGTCATTGATAATATTGCTTGAAACAAGTGATACAAAAAATCTTAATATGTTTTTTTATTTATTAATGAAATAATACTTTAACCTCGTTGTGCTTACGGTAATCGTTCGCTTTAAATATTTTAATATTTTATGCTACATTAAATATACAACAAATTATTTAATTATAAAGAATGTGTACCTTTTTATGAGATGCTTTCCAAAGTTTCCAAATATAGAATATTTATGTGTATTTGTGTATTTATTATTATATTGGTGCTAAAGCTTTATTATTCATTTTAAAACTTTTGCATTATTGCATTATAACTTTGTTATATTAAATAAAAATTCATTTTGCCATGTAAAGAGTGAAATAATGCTTGTTTTAAGCGTTGTCTGTTGCAGCATACTATGAGCGTGTTTATCTTATATACAAAGAAATTTTTTAAAAGAATGGATTTATCTTATTTGTTAAATACTAATTATAAAATACTTACTTTACTATTGTGTGAAAAAAATGGTTAAGCAAAAGAAGGAAGGATACAGAATTTTCAAACCAAAGAGCAGAATCAAAGTATTATTTCACGGTGTGATCAACGTATTAAAAGTAATATTACAATAATCAGAAAAATACATTTTTTGATTCATATTAAAAGCAGTACAGTATTACAATAATTAAAGGTACTGTATTTCCTTGTAAATTTTTTATTAGTCTTTATCCATATTAAAATAAACTTTATTAAAACAAACTCTTGTAGGCTATTGAAATACTATTGACAAACTTTTAAATAAAAAGTTGATGATCGGAAAGATATATCATGTGATTGATCATGCATGATTTCATTTTATGCATTGTCAATATGCATTATCAATAAAGTGCGTGTTACCTATGAAAAAAAGGTAATGATTTTACTCCCTATAAATATTAAAATAAGAGCAATCTAAATTTCATTTATTTTTTTTTATAACTTTTTATTTTTTTTCATATATAGTAAATATTATCGGCCTCGGAACAAAATCATTTTTTCGATTCTGCACTAGTATCTTATTCTGCCTTTATTATTTATTCATTAATCTTTATATTGCATATAAAGTCAATGGCCGAAATATATAATAATTGTACAAAGTGCTATAAATTGTGCAATGCAATTTATTTTCAACATAAATTCATAGATTGGACTAGTGGTAATAATGATATTGATAAACTCATTCAAGCCACTCAATTATTATCTCATAAAAATGTAAAAGTAGCACTAGAGTGGATACCTTATCATAGACTGGATGATATTAAATATATTGACGAAAACAAGTTTGGTAAAGTGTATAAAGCAAATTGGATCGATGGATGTATATTTCGTTGGAGTATATATAAACGAGATTGGATAAGGCATCAAACTTTGCTGAAACCTATCGATTTTGAAAAATATGGTAGAAACATTTTTAAAATATGATCACCATATTGCATACGTATTTCTGTTAACTCTGTTGTAACTCGATAACAGCAATATGTTAAGCATATGTCAAAAATATGAAATAAAAATATGTCTAGAATATGTTAAACATCAATCAAAAATATGATGAAAATATGTAATAGGAATGTTTTTATTATATATCAAAAATATGTTGGAAATATGTAATAGGGATGTTTTCATTATATATCAAAAATATGTTGGAAATATTATAAATCAATTTATTAAAATAATCAAAAATTTAATTACATGTATACAATATCATATGGCACAAATGTTTCTCTCATCTATCAAAAAATTTAAAATACTATATAATTCTTAATAATATTATTATCCATACCAATACCGCATTATAATAAAATATAACATCGATTTCCTTCATTATGCTCAGTATTATGT